TTCCCCCCTTTTTTCTCTCTTTCTCTCTCTTTAGCTCTGTATTATTTGGTATCAAATATCTCCCCCCCCCTTTTTTTTCTTTCTTTCTTTCTTTTTTTTCTTTTTCTTTTTTTCTTTTTTCTTTCTTTTTTTTTACCTAAAATGGTTAAATGTAAAGAACACATCGTTGCTTTTGAGAAGTAACGACCCTAATAACTCCACAATAGAAAAGGATTTAGTTTATATATTTTTATGTAAGAATAAAAAAAGATTTTGTGGGTTCATATGATACAGTGGAATTTTGCATACAGATACCTCTTTGCAAAAAAATATGTACACAGATTTAGATAGTACATGTCTGAAATAGAAGTAGCTCTTATCCTAATGTCAAAATGGATACCTCATCCATTCTTTGTGTCATGTAGATCTATGTTGCCATCAGTTCTAGTGATGGTTCTATAAGGTTTGTGGAACGAGTGGCATTGTGATCGTGTTCATCAGGCAGATCCCGTCATACTTTGTCATGTCATTATTGTTCACCTCTTCATTCTTATAGTCTTCCTCCTACTCATACTTTTCCTGGTACTCCTCGTCCTCTTTCCCCCTTCCTCCTCATTTTTCTGATGGTACTCCTCTTCATTTTTCTCTTCTTCATTTTTCTCTTCCTCCCCCTCCTCCTCCTACAAATCTTACTCTTCCTTGTTTTCTTCCTTTTTCTTCTTTATCCTCCTTTTCTACCAATCTCTTTATTACTATGTACTCCATATTCATCCAGCATTTATTTGTGCCATTACATCACATGTCTTCAAAGATTTTTTGAATGAATGGTTCACAGCAGTTTTAAATTGCACAAGGTTGAAAGTTATAATTGTCTGTGTTTCAATATTACTTTGCAAAAATATATAGAAATTTTATCCTTTAAATATATGTGGCATTAAATCCACTTTCAGTATTGCTATCACTATAATGCATCACTGTTTAAAAAAAAAAAATTATTGCAAGGCATTGCTATATAAACACAAGAACAACTATAGATTAAAAACCTTGTTTCTCAACTTGTTACATTCACTATATTTTTTTTAGCTTTTTTATCATGTGAAGTTACAGCTCTTACATTTGAAAGTGTGCAGTTAATTGGTATCGGAGAAAGCTTTGGGAATAGCCAAAATAAAATTATTTAATTAAGGAATCTTTCATTAAATGGAACTGTGCAAGGTGTAACAAGAAAGGAGAAATGTTTACCAGTGTTGATATATATTTCTGAAAACTGTGATGCTGAATAAGATTACTGTGAACCATGCAAGAAGAAAGGCTTTTTCTGGTTGCGAGATGATGTCTGAAGTTGCCATAATGTCAATAGCATTTAAAGTCTGTGATGTTTTAGCATATTATACAATAGTCTTTATGTTAATTTTAATTTTACTGTAGCTATCAACTTTTGTGAATATAATGGAATTAATTTTTGCAGTCTTTGCGTGAATTTCAACAAAATTTGAAAATGTTAGAAAAGAATGTACTTATTTAAGTATGCCCAAATAAGAAACTAAAATTATGCTAAGGTGAATATTGTTGGAATTTCTCTGTAATGTTGTATCAATGCTTCTAGTATATGAGCTTTTGCTTATTTATTTTGAATAAGTGCAGACATTGTATATTTTGTGTGTATACTCTGTTGTTTGTAATTATTATGTAACATTTTCTTCATGATATTTATATTGCTTTTTCCATTTTTTAAGGCATGTTTATATCATTTCGGTGATCATAGTAAATTTACTAATAATAAACACTCCTAGAAATTTGCATATCTTGGCACATGTATATAATTATAAGCTTTCACTGTGTCAATAGAACTGACATGTGCAGGTATTTATTTAATATTCTTTTTTTCTATGAAGACAGTGAGATTCTTCTTTCAAAAATGTGTTTAAGAGTTAAGGAATTAGTATTGAACATCAAAATGATATGGTATGAGAAGAGTGAATGTATTAACAATTGTATTTTTTTTTACAATAGAAAGGGTTGGAATGTTTCCATATGTGTATATGTATAATTTTTGTGTGCTATGTTTTCGTGGGCTATTCATGAATAGTACAAATTGTCTTTTTCGTTCTTTGCTGTAAGGTTTAAGCTGATAGTTTATGTAAGCCTGAGTGATAAATAGGTCATGCAGAAGAATGTCAATCCTACAGGCAATGGACTTCCAAAATCTTGAGGGTGGTGCTGATGTAAAGGTACTTGGCAGCAACTTGCAGCATGATTTGATTTGATTTGATTTTTTATTTATTTTTATTTATTTATTTATTTATTATTATTATTATTATTTATTGTAGTTGCTCTTATTATTTATGTTATCTATTTATTTGTTGTTATCATTATTTTTTATATTCTTATTATTACATTTATCTATTATTTATTTTTGTTATTTTTTTCATATTCCTTCAAACCCTCCCATGAGTTTGGTTGAAGGTAATGGCTGCCTAATTTGGTTGTGTTTGTGCTTTCATACAGAAGAAAGGAAAACTTGTCAATAATGAACATTACCTGCAAGTGACAGACATTTATTTAGATGACTCCCAGTGATTCATTATTAAATAGATCATCTTACATAACTGTAAATGGCTACATGGATATTCATGGACTAGCCTGTCTCGTTGTTTTTGTTTCTATTTTATTTTATCATTTTGAAAGGGTTTCCTTAGTTGTGAATAATTTATTTCTTGTTTTAAAAAGGGAATATTTTATAGAATTATCTTGCATCAGACATATAAAAACAAAATGTGGGAAATTACTTTTTTATCCAATTTCTTCTTGGTATACTTGTTTACCAAGCTATATCATTTATAAAATCTTTTTCCTGGATTGATTCAGACATTCCATTTTGATGTAATATATAAAGATTCTTCTAGTTTTGAATTATAAATGTAATATGCAGCAGAAACTTTGTTGGTGTGCAAATTATAATTCTAGTTTGTTGCAGTTATTGTATTGTTTTGCCCACTCCCCCTCATACTTCACTCCCCTCCCACTCTACTGCCCTCCCCTCCCATGCTGCCTCCCCCTCCTGTCCCCACTCTGTTCCTTTCCCTTTCCCTCTCCTTTATCCACCCTCTTCCTTTCCCTCTCCCTCTCCCTCTCCCTCTCCCTCTCCCTCTCCCTCTCCCTCTCCCTCTCCCTTCACACACGCACACACGTACATTACATGACACACACACACACACACACACACACACGTACACACACACACACGTACACACACACACACGCACACCACACACACACACACACACACACACACACGTACACACACACACACACGTACATGCACACACACACACGTACACACACACGTACACACACACACACACACACACACACACACACGTACATGCACACACACACACGTACACACACACACACACACGTACACACACACACACACACGTACATGCACACACACACACGTACATGCACACACAACACACTACACACACACACACACACACACACACACACACACACACACACACACACACACACACACACACACTCACTCACTCACTCTCTCACTCACTCACTCACTCACTCACTCACTCTCACTCACTCACTCACTCTCTCTCTCTCTCTCTCTCTCTCTCTCTCTCTCTCTCTCTCTCTCTCTCTCTCTCTCTCTCTCTCTCTCTCTCTCTCTCCCTTTCCTCTCCTCTTCCATCTCCCTCCTTCCCTTCCTCCTTTCTCTCCCTCCCCCTTTCCTTCTCCCTTCCCCACCTCCTTTTCCTCCTTCTTTCCATCTCCCTCTCCCTTCCCCACACCTCCTTTTCCTCCTCCTTTCCATTTCCCTCTCCCTTCCCTCCTTTCCCTCCTCCTTTCCATCTCCCTCCCTTCCCCCTCCTTCCCTCCTCCTTTCCATCTCCCTCTCCCTTCCCCCACCCTTCCTCTTTTTGATAAATCACTCTTAACAGGGAATGCAACCCTGAATGAAAAAAAGTCTTCTTGCACATTTTCTTTCAATAATTAAATTGTCTTCCATGCTCAGAAAAACAAAAGAAGAAAAGAATGTGTTTTTGTGATGTTTGCACTGTGGAATCTCAGAAAACGAAGGTGCATTTACCACCTAGGGGATTGCAACTACCGAGTGACTATCAAGTTCCTAAGGCAATTAAGTGAATTGATTCTTTGTTAAATATGCACATAATCAATTGGATTTATCCTTCGTATGCATTGTAAAGGGCATAGCAAATACCACACAGATTTTGGATTTTTTGTTGAGTTTATTGACACGTTTTTATATACACATTTCTTAAATTAGAGGTCATGCTTTGTACAGTAGTGTAGCAAAAAAATAATAAAACAACAATAAAAAATTGCACAAATTGACATTGGTTTTAATACATTTGTAAAACAGAATGTGAACATGAGGTTTTTTTTTAGATCATGAGAAATTTTTGAGAATAGGAGTAAGAGAAGAAACCGTAGAATTAAAATGATAAAGGACATCATAATGAAATAATCAATGTACTCATAACATCATTAAAACCCAGCAAACACTGCTATTGTCATGGTAATATTTTACGTATAGAAATGTATCTAATTGTTTGAAGCTTACCCAATGTGATAACAGAACAGATACCCCCAGAAACCCAAATTTTTATGCAATGGTTCTTACAAGTGCAGTGTCTAACTGCAAGATGTAAGAAACATTATTACAGCAAACAAAATAGGTTTGGAGGATGTATATCAATTGGAAGGGTTAACAACACTAGATTTCTATTTAGTAACTAATAAAAAAGTAAGAAACTCCGTGATCTCTGCAGGTAATTGAATCTTTCTTTTCCTCATAATAATGAATAGCATTGTACAAGGGAATACAAAAGATATCAGAAAAGGACATCAAAGTGATATTCAGTGTGAAACGGGTTACTTTACACACATTTTGTAATTTTACCTCCTTTGTGAACATTTTATTTGTGTCTGTATTTGTCTTTTGTCGTATTCTCCAAAGCTATAATGTAGAGAGTACAATT